TGATCGGGGCCATAGTGCACACCTGCGCCAGCCCTGGCGAGCAGCAGGCGCGCTGGGTGGTGGGGGCAGGCTCCATCGGTGGTAGCGCAGGCCCACCGGGCTCCGCGCTCGCCGTCGCATTCCTCGTAGGGGTCACCGGCGGGGCCCCCTGGCGCTGGCAACGGAATGGGCCGCGGGAGCTCGTCCTTAGCGAGGGCGACCTGTCTTGGAGATGGGGTATTTGGGTCTTCCTCCAGAAGACCGAAGTGTCTAGCATATGGCGGCAGATCTCGCCTCTGTTGCCCGGCGATCATTTCCAGAGCTGCCCTCTTGGGCATTTCCAGGCAGTGTGTTCTTGGTTCTTCTCTTCTTGGTTGCGCCATCTGCCCAGCGGGGATGGGCGCGCCGAGATGCCAGCCTCGACTTCTCTTTGCTGGGCGCGGCCCTCCTCGCGCGAGCCGCGCATTTGGGCTTCTCGTTGGCGCGTAGAAGCCACGCGTTAGCGAAGTAGTCAAGAGTTAGCGAAGTAGTCAAGACCCTGTTTGACAGCATGGGCGGCGAGAAGGACCTCCTTTGCGAAGCGCGGAGCGCGCGCGCGATCGACCCTGCTGGCAGGTGCTTCCGTGACAGGAGAATGCCGCCGCCTTCATGCGTCGTGCCGTAGGTTGGCCAGGTCCGTTCAAATTTGGCGATGGTTTTGCCGCGCTGCACCTAACTGGGCCTCCTCCTTGGAAGGTCTGCGCGTGGTCACGCAGCAGTTTAGCTTTGGCGTCGAGGCTGGTGTCTCTTCGCACTTAGCTTCCAAGACCAACAGACTCTTCCCTTTGCGCGATCCCGCCAAGTTCGATGGCTCCCCCAGGGGCGACGAGAGCGTAGAGGGCCCAATGTGAGATCCATGATGTTCGCTTGGGCCTCATGGCCACGAGCGCGGCGTTGTCGCGGATTTGTTCGGCCCTCTGGTTGGGCGCTTGAATTCCGGCGCTGGCGGTGCACGTGCTGGCCGCGAGGGATTCGACATAACGTGCTCTCGCTTGAGTGCCTCCTAGGAGGCGCCCGATGCGTCTCAGTCTGGCGACGGCCCCCGGCGTGCTCTGGCGCCAGCGGTGGCTTCAAGGTCCAGTTGGGCATCGGCAGCAACAGGTGCGACGTTGATTTAGCCCCCGCAAGCTTCAGCTGGCGGCGAGCTGCTTGCAGCGGCTGCCCGCGGAGCTGAAGGGGGGCCACCTGGCTGTGAGGCCCCTCGCCCGCGGCCCAGCCGACCACCTTGGCTAGGTGGCCCGTCGAAGAGGGCGGTTTCGCCGAGCGACGCTTGGAGCCCCGTGGCCGCGGGGGCCGCGGAGCTGTTGTCGTCGACGAATGTTGGAATCAGTGAGCGGGGTGCGTGTCGGTGCTGTCGCATGGCCCGCGCACGCACGGTGTTCGATGTCGTCGAGGGAGAAAAAGCTGCCTTGGAGGTTGCCGTTGGCGCGGGCCAGAGGTCTGGTGTAGGCCCCGACCATGCGGCTACATCTCCGGTGTTTCTCGTGAAAGCACAGCCTGAATTTGGCGATGTCGGGCGGCGGGTTCCATTCATTTAAAACAGCTCAGGTCTGGTAGCCTGGGAGACGCGGCGCAGGACGCGGGCGGCCATTTCCGTTCTTCGTTCGTCGGTGTTCTTGGGGCCGAGGACGATCGGAGAGTCGGGCGTCCTGCTGGCGTAGTTGCGCAGTCAACCGTTCAACGCCGTCGTCGCCGTGGGGCGAGACATTTTCGGCGATGGTTTTGCCTGCTGCGTTGCGTGCTGGGTATTCTGAGGCTGGAAGGGACCAGTCGGATGGGTCGGGGCGGAGGAGCGGGGATCCACAGCGTCTGAGGCACCGCCGCCTTTGGCTGGGTCGGAGCCCCGCCAGTGCGGGAGCCTTTGGCGGGATTGTGGTCGTCTTGCGTCCATCTAATCTTATGTTGGCCATGCAGGCGCTCGAGGCTGGTCTTGATCTGGTCCGTATCGTTGTTTATTGTCCGAGAGACCGCTGCAAGCCCGTCAGGGACGTCGATTGCGAGCTCGTCGAATGCGCGTGGGGGGCGCGATCAGCGCCGCCTGCGCGGAGGGCAGCACTCCGCGCGTCTTTGAGAGCAAACAGGGGCGTTGGTTCCACGGCACGTGAGCCTCCTGTCGGAGGAGCCGCAGTCGTCGCCCAGCGGCCCTTGCCTATGGCGGCCGCGGCGATTGGAGAGCATAGGAGGAAGGTGCCGCTCGCTTTCCATGTGCCGCGAGGGATCCAGCTTCGCCGGGAGGAGTTCGAAGACCTCGGGATTGGGCACCGTGATTCGAAGGGGCGCGATGGCCCATTGTGCCAGGGCTAGAAAGGCAGAGGGAGAGAGAAATGACAAAAGAGAGAGAGAGAGAGAGAGAGAGACAGAGAGGGCGAGAGAGAGAGAGGCATACAGCAACAAAAAACATACAAGAGACAAGGAACGAGAGCGTGTGAGGGTAAATGTGCAGGAGAAGGGGGACGGATCTGGAGGTCGACATAGAAGCGCACAGGCATGGATAAGGAGACCGCAAAGGCGGGAGGAGGGAAGAATTGAGCCGAGGCGGGTGTGTCTTCGGTGAGGGCGCTCCCGCATATGACCAAGTGTCTGTTGATTGTAAGGCTCTCCTGGGGTCCCCATTCTCGGAAGTTCGGACCAAAGTGTTCACAGAAACACTTCTGGCGGGCGATGTCTCGGGTCACGGGGGTTAAGCGGGTCGTGAGTCTCGTGCGCGGTAAGGCCCGCACAGTAGGCCAATGACGAGCAATACGAGTCTCTCTATCTTTGGTAACAAGACAGCTGACCAGTATGCCAAGGTGGCGGCCAATCAAAACGGGCACAGCCAAGCTGATACCGGCATGGTCCGAGTGGCCACACTTCGTACTACACCAAGTTGGCCCAAGGTATCGGTAACGTTCTGGCAGATTGGCTATTTCTCAGAGCAGGTCGGTGAGATCTGCCGTGCGGGGTAGAACAGAGACCACGCCCATCACCTCTTCCCCTTACGAGTTTCCGTAGTGGTCCGAGGAATCCACATGGCGGTGCTCTCACTGTTTGAGGCGTGTGGATCCCGAGCTCCGCAGGGGATGTAGGGGGCTGAACCCCACGCTTCTTGGTTTAGTTTACAATTATGACCACAGGGGTTCATAAGCTCCATATGTCCAGGGCGGTCGGCACCGAACCACCAATAATTTTGTGCACCACATGTGGAGGATTTGCTGCCACGAAATGCGGCCCTCAGCTTCTGGGTCACTGTCGTCCGTCCGCGAGTGCAGCAAGAGACGGGGACTTGGGAAAGGCGTGCTCCCTGGGACAGGTCTGCGTTTGAGTCTCCCGCCCGAGCCTCTCTCTCGTTTGGTGGGCAACGTAGGCGCTGGAACGGAGTCAGACTAATCCAAGGCTTCAGCCTTTTGCCATTGTTTGCCATGTGACATGTGTGCTGGCACGCTGTCAGACTGAAACTGAGAACTGAGAATTCAGGGGTACGGAGGTGGATGAGGAGGAGGACCTAGATTTGAAGAAAGAGGCGGATGATGATGCTGGTGATGATGATTATAATGATGAGGAGGAGGAGGAGGTGGAGGAGGAGGAGGCGGAGGAGCAGGATAGGGGAGGAGGAGGAGGAGGAGGAGGAGGAGGGAGAGAAGGAGGACGATGATGACGAGGGGTCGAGGAGGAGGGGGGGAGGGATCAAGGGAGGAGGAGGGGCAGAGATGAACAGACGGAGGGCTGACGAGGGAAATGGGGGAACATGAGGATCAATATCGGAGAGTGAACCGGAGGAGGAACATGATTTTGAACATATCGGAGGTTTGGAGGTTTGGGGGTGAGATCGCAGTTCAGCAGAGAGCCCCCCACTGGGAAATCGGTTTTGGTTTCGTGTCGCGCGTGCGGGCGAGGCGCAGCTGCGTGGGCGGCGAGAGGAATGATCCCGCCCTGGCTAGGGGGACATCTGGCTCAATGTATCTCCTCCCCACGGTTGGCCGGCGGCGGCCTTGGGTGTCGCGCTAGTGTCTAGTGTCCCGCGGTGTCCCGTGGTGTCCCGCGGTGTCCCGGTGGCGCAGTGTCCCACGGTGTCCCGTGGCGACCCGTGGAGATTGATGGTGAGATCGATCGTGGGATCGATTGTGAGATCGATTGAGTGACATCGATGGTGAGATCGGTAGTGAGATCGATAATGAGATCGATAGTGCGATCGGTAGTGAGATCGATCGTGACATCGAAAGTGAGATCGACGGTGAGGTCCGTAGATAGTGGGATCCGGGAGATCGATAGTGAGGTCGAAAGTGAGATCGACGGTGAGGTCGACGGATAATAAGATCGGTATAGAGAGAGGGAGATCGATCGTGGAATCGATCGTTCTTTTCGTCTTGTCCCGTGATGTCTCATAGTGCCCAGTGGCCTTGTATGTTGCTCCGTGGTGTCTCACGGTTTCTCGTGTCGACAGGTCGATCGTGGGACTTGCGATGGCGTTGATGGCGGCGGTGGCATTTAGCTGCCCGCGATGGCGGTGGTGACGCAATCACCGGATGAGATTGACACTGATAAGTACATCGTGGGATCCATAGCGAGAAGGATAGTGGAGTCGCTACGCAGATAGAGGGATCGATTGCGCGGTGGATAGTGGTACCCATGGGTAGTGAGACTGGTAGATCGGTAGTGGGTCTCGCGATGGTGTCATGTATGTGCCTCAGCAGAGTCTACAGGGGCTCTGTCCGAACGTGTCCCGATAGAGTCCCGATACTACCCCAGTGTCGCCCCAGTGGTCCCACCAGCGTCGTCACCACGCATCGTTGCCATCTCCGCATCGTGGACACATCATCCGCATCGTTGCCATCTCAATCGTCGCAGTTGCCACCAGTTGCCCCTCCCACACACAACCTCCTTATCACCCGAAGGGGGGGTCGTATACGTAGCAGGCACTGCGGAGGTTGATGGGGTCAGCAAGAGCGCTAGATTGAGAGTGAGGGTGGGCCCATACGCGCGCGTGCCAGCGTGAAGAACGTTACCGGCGGGGCCATACTGAGTGAGGAGGACGTGAGACGCTGCCGTAGACACGTTAGTTGTATCTTGCTCCTCTTGCTTCAAGTGCGGTCACAGGGGTGGGGGCTGAGGGGGACGTTGGGGATTTCTCCTCCTCCTCCTCCTGTCTGTCCCTTCCTGATCCGCAACTATGATGTGCTGAGCGCCCTCCCCTCCGTCCCTGCTTTTGGCACCCTCCGTCTTCATTTTCGGACCACAACATTTATGCTTGATCGGCTTAACCTGCCCACGAGGAAGATGATCCGCAAGCGGGTCTCTCACTTCTTCGGTCCCCCTTCTAATGCCCAGCTGGACCGTCTTTACACGATCTTCGGGAGGCTTGAGCAGACCGCTTCCCCGTTTATCCGCGCGTCCTTCTTGAAAGCTGTCTGCAACTCCTGGGTGACATCGAGGAGGTTCCCTGGGCCCACCCAGCGTTGCCACTTTTGTGAGAATGGGGACGGGGACGATATTCGGCACCTCGTCATCTATCCCGTCGCTGTTGCCCACTGTCCTCTGCCTCTGTTTCCTTTCTCCTTCGCCTCCGCCGCTGCCGTCTCCCGACTGCTTCTCTTCCTTTTTCCCGCTTTCTGATGACACTCTCTTGTCGTGCGCAACGTAGCCAGATGCGTTCCTCAGGCGCCCGCGGCCCTGCCGCCGCCGCCCGCTCTCTTCGAGCTCGTGCACGCTTCGGAGCCTCGAGAGACGCTCGAGTCTAGGCGGTGCTCCTTTGGCAGTCCATTCGTCGCGGGGGATCGGGGAACGCTCCCTCGAGGAGATGCAGACTTGTCAGCCCCTCTTGCGCCTGGACGGGCCTCTTTCTTTCGCGTCTCTTGCTCTTGGCCGCCCTTCTTCTCTTTGGGTCGTGCGCTCCTGCCTGTCCTTTCCATTGGGATCAGCAGAAGGTTGCGTACCTGCATTTTGAAATCTGGGATTCTGCATCCGAATGCAAGGCTAGTGTGCAACCGAATGTGGGGTTCCAAGCCCGAGCTCCGACGATAAGGACTGCACGATACGAGCAAGAACAAATACAGGATCAACCGGGAAAACCGTCACGGCCTTTCGAAGGCTTTCGGAACATAGGAGCTTTATTTCATCGGAGAGGCTGGGCACGCTGACGCCAATAATCGGCTTTCGGCTAATCGCACATTCCCTCACTTTTCCTTCTCGTTCCCCCTCCTCGCCGCTGCCCTCGGCATTCGCTTCCCCCTCCTACTCGCCACTCTCGCTCGTCCTCACTCCTGCTGCTCGCGCGTGCCCCATCGCTCTTGTCTCCTCCTCCCACTCGCTCCTGCTCCCTGCTCTGTTTTATCCCGGTTGCGGTGAATGTCGTGCGTGTTGGAATCTCGGGGAGGTTTCTTGGATCATTCTGGGAGCCTTGTGGAGCCCTTTCTTGGAGCTCTTCTTGGCGCGGTCATTGCCCGTCGTGGACACAATTGGACGCCTTGGGTTCTAAGTCACGATCTTGCAACCCAGCCCGCCATGAACTTATATGTTTAGCTGACGTCTCGCGCTCGACACGCCTGCGCCATCACATCTACAAGTGTCCTTGAGGCATGTGCATAAACAGTGTTGACAAACCATTGTTGGACCGTGACGTTGTGATCTGCGTGAGGGCGTCGTCGGGTGTTCGTAAACTGTTGGGGGTGTCCCAAGCGGCACGGCCACTCGCATTCCGAGCGCTCAAAAAACAGATGGTGCGTGCGAGACATGTGCAGCAATATTGTTGGCAAACTATTGTGAAGATGGTGGGGATCCGAGCTCAACCCCTACAGCGTTGTCTTCCTTCACCCGGCCCCTATTGTCCATCTTTTGCAATGAATGCCAAATGGTCGACGTCGAGGAAGACAGGGAGAATGGTAGGGAGGAGGTGGCCGAGATGATATCATGATCAAAGGCAGAATGAAGGGGGCACGATGGGGGAGCAGTTGTGGAGGGGAAGCACAAGGGGGAGGGGGAGGATGCATAGGCGCATACGTCCTCAGGCAGCGCGCATGGTAGCTGGAAGCAGCAGACTCGGCCTCCTCTGTTGTCAGGCCTTGACTGTATGATAGGTTTAGGCTGAATTGTGATCGCGCTGACTTTCGTGACTCCCGCCATCGGAAAGAAGAACTCATGAATTTACACTCGCAGCCCTGACAGGTCCTTCGTTTCCTCTTGTAAATGTGATCAACGCTCTGGACTGGCAGGTCCAGCATGCATTCAGGTTTGTGGTTAGTGGTCGCACATTCTCAGTCCATGTCAATTGTGGTTCACCGTGGATGTGATCTACTCGATTCGTACACCGACGAGCCAGGTTGAGTCCGACGGGGTCATGCCTGGCCTGGCTATTTTCATACTTTCCCTGCCCCCCTCCCATCTCACCTCCTTTCCCCCCTTTCCACCATTTAACAGTATGATTACTACCGGTCTTCTGTCCTTTGTCCCTATCAAGAGGTAGCTGGTTATTTTTGCGTGCTGTATAATGTTTCGTTTTCCACCACAAAGTTGGACAGGTGTGGTCGTTTTCGTGCCTGGTTGGACTCCGGTTTTTTCCGGCATTTCGACATGGTTGTTCTTCCCGTTCCTTCCAGTTGCTGCTGCTGTTCGTCCCGGTCCTCCTCCTTCCACATTTTGATCATCATCATCCTCCTCATCATCATCATCATTTTTGGTCTGTTCTGCAGGCGATTGGGCTCTGGACTTCTAGCTGGGCACGGGCGCTCAACCATCTGAGAAGTCGCCCCGCAGCAAAGCTGCCATAGTGTGGGTGCAGGCAGAAAGGTCGAGGTGGCCGAGGTCGGCCACAGATTGGTTTTGTCGCAGAAATATAATCATCTCAAGGCTGTCGAGTATTCCGGTTTGCAGCGGTCGTCAGCTTGTTCAACATGCGTGCGTTTTTCTTCATCCTCCACGTTGTCCTCTACATATTCAGTCACCTGCAGGTCTGTCCAGGTCCGACTTGCTGAGTTTCGTGGCGCTGAGTACCTTTTCTTCGTGGCTGTACCTGTGACGTGCATCCGTGGAGCGCGAGTGGGCCTGTGGTACGAGCTCGTTGCATTCGTGTACCTTCTCTTCATACGTGTGTTTGTGACGTGCGCGTGGGAAGCGCGAGTGGGCATTATTGTAGCACTTAGCAGGTTTCTGTTAAGCCTGTGTGTGTGTGTGTTTTTTCCGATGCCTACTTCGGTGAAATGGCCGCGTCCTACAGCGCGCAGTGGATGGGCCAGTCAAGTCGTTCTCCCAGTCCGAGCACATCTGTCACATCCAGGGGAAGTGTCAGCACCAATTGTCTCTGAATGGGTGATCGGACGTATTCTGATGAACGACGTAGTTGGCCTCCGTGAAGCACTCTTCCACATGTTACAAGCGATTGCCCCTGATCACTTACGTGTTGGTCTATATGGTCGCGCGGGTCATCTCGTTCTGGCACTCCTCGCTCAAGGTATGGCTTTCGTTCAGATTCGCACAGCGTTATCATTGCCATCATGTCCGCGCTGGGCTCGCCGTGTTCTTATGACTATGCCAAGCGAGATGACGTTTCATATTAAGAATGGCGCGGTCGAATGGTTTCAGCACCAGCAACCCAATTTACTTCAGTCTGTTGGGTCAGGCGCAGCGGTGTATCTGTTTTTCGGCCACAGTGGCCTGTGCATTGGCAAAGCCAACGTTGCTCGGGCTAAAGGTCGTCCAGGTCTTCCAGAGCGGTGTGCTGAGCATTGCAAAGCTTTGCTGGGCTTTCAGTCTCGTCGCGATTCTGAGTTGCCTCGATACGTATCGTTACGGAAGTCACTCGGTAGCATTGGTTTCTTGCCAGTAGTATGGTGTCCAACAGAGCTCCAGGCTCTGTCAGTTGAGCGAGCACTCATACAGATGTCACGTCCAAATTGTAATGGTGCTGACTACCGACTTCTCCAGACTATACAACGCCGTGGCTTCCGAGTTCGGCCAGATCGAGCCGAGCCCCGCAGCCAACTTTCCCCTCGTCTTCGGCAGCGGAAGGCATTCTCGATTTGGACTACTACGATTTTCAGAGATGTCCTTTCTAAGAAGCCATCTAAGCCTTCAACTCATCTGTCAAAAGTTCGTGGCAGTTTTAAGAAGCTGTACCTGTTCCGTCTTCGGTGCATGGCATTGTGTACTGGGATGCTCGGCCCACTCGATTTGCTGGATCGTAATCTGCTCTACCTCAACATGCGATTGGCCTACTGTCCATCTAAGCACGCCAATATTGTCTTTCCGTCGTCGTGGTACTTGTGGCAGAAGGCTGAGTACATCTATGAGTTGGCTGGTCAAATCAAGTCTCGGGCTGGTGGTTTCCCATGTCAATTTGCAGCGAAAGCTCACCTCAGCAAGTTGTGTCAGCGGCGTGGGTTGCCACCGGTATCAGTCTCTCCTGTCGTCGTACCGCGTGAACTCGTTCGGGGGCTGCATCTCCCTCGTCGTCGCTTCGAAACTGAAATTGATGACGTTCGGTGTGAGCCAGCTCGTCGGCGGCGAAGCGAGCGTCTCAGCGTGCTTCCTGCGAAGTCGGCGGTCTGGGCAGATAAGTTCAACGTGAAGCGTATTCTTCGTGGTCTGTGTCATTCGCATGTTCAGCAAGTTGCTCCAGAGGTTCTCGGTCGTTATGCAATGTCTCCCACGTTAGCTGCGTATTCGGGACCGTGGAAGTTACCTGTGCGGCCCTCGCTTCCCCGTCTTCGTCGCACGGCGCAAAGTGCGCGGCGATTGCGGGCGCAACGTCGTCGGCTACACCCTCGCGTTCAGCGGCGGATACGAGGAGCGCTGGATGTCGAGATCCAGGCTCTCCCCGCGCCAGTTCGTCCTGAACCTTGGGCTAAGATGGGGTCGCAGCTTCAGGATATCATCCGTCTTCGGGGGGGCGCTCACCTGGGGCGATCGCGATGCAACTAAGGCATGCCTTATTGATCGAGGGGCCGTTGGGCCGTATCTAGTTGAAAAGATGATGGCCGATGCGACGTTGTGGCGTTATCACCCTGACCTTCGTCCACGTGATGTTCTTGCTTGCTGCG